CCCACCCCGGCAGCACCCCAGTTGCTCTGCCTCGGGCTTCCTGGAGTCAGCCACTGATCAGTATCAGCAGCGGCTGACTTGGGGACACCTGAGGCAGAGCAGCTGGGGTGCTGCCCGGTTGGGCCAGTAGCGCCGAGGAGGGGCGCTGCGGGACCAACCCGGCAGCACCCCAGCTGCTCTGCCCCAGGCGTCCCCAAGAGCAGCTGCTGCTGAAACTGACAAGCAGCTGACTCCAGGAAGCCGGGTGCAGAGTAGCTCCAATTGTCTGGCAGCCGGAGCACTTCCGGGTTCCTGATGGTGCCGGACCATCAGGAGTACCGGAGCATTGGATGCCGGACCAATGGAGTTTTACTGTAATTGTACCAGGCAGTAAAATAGGCTTCAGTTCATTAAGGGTTAACCATGGGGGCTGGAGCAGCTCCCCACCCACTGTGGAGTGGGGGGTGCTCCAGACCCGCAGAGCCCGCCACAGGCAGGAGGTCTCTCCAGTCAGAGGGGAACCAGTCCCTGACCACAGCAGGCCCGGACAGAACAGCCCCTGATGCAGCAGGCTGCTTAATATATTTAACTGGATAACTAAACAAACAGGATTTTACAACCCTATTCTAAACTGACCACAACTAAGTTATTTAGACCTCTCATTCTGTTTATAACTCCTTTTTGATTCTTAGTGTTCATATTCTTGTGTGAAGTCTGCAGGTGCACACGAAGAATCAGAAAAATTCTTTATAGCTTTATTTAAAGATTTGTTCTTGATCTTCTATTTTAGGACATGACAATTTTCTACTCCTTTTCTATATCAATTCCAAATGGAAACCTGGAAGTACTTCTCAAGATAGATGAATTTCAAAGCAAACCTATGGAGCGAATATTCAGAACACTTCAGTACAGTGATGTTAGGGAGCTTCTACTAGTGAATTCTAACCTAGGAATCTTCATGTAAGGGCCTGAGGGTACAGGTTCTCAGTTTCAGTGGGTCTTTCTAGAAGCTGGCATGGGGGGAGGGGAGAAGAAGGTGGGGGCCCTGAGGTCTGATTCACCATTTCCACAAAGAGAGGGAGGTGAAATACCACCTCAGAAGTCCTAAAAGGTCAGGTCCTCACAAAAGTGCTATCAGAATGTCCAATTGACTCATGCCAACTACATAAGCCAGGAAGGCTGTTTAAGCAATCAAGCAGAATTTCTGTTGCTGCTGGGTCAGATCTCTCTCTCACCTGTCTCCTGAGATATATATCCAACTTCTATTCCCCTCTGCTCTGATTCCTTGTTCTTGACTTACCCTTAGTTCCTGCTATGCTCCGTGCCAGATTCTTGTCTTTTTTCTGGCTCCCATCCCTACACTTGTCTCTTAACTATTGGCTATCAGTAGGGCCCTACCAAATTCATGGCCCATTGTGGTCAATTTCATGACCGCTGGGTTTTAAAATTGGTCAATTTCACAATTTTAGACATTTGCACCTGACATTTCATGGTGTATAACCGTAAAATGGGTTCTGACCTAAAATGGGATCCTGGAAGCATTTCAAAGTTGTTGTAGGGGGGTTCCCAGATTGTCACCCTCACTTCTCTGCTGCCTTTTCAGTAGGACTCTGAAAGCCACACCGCCCAACTTCCTGCCGGTAGAGGAGGCTCCGCCAGAGATGGAGGTGGGTAGAATCTCCTCCTTACTATTGTCAATACCCCAGCCAGGGGGGCACTACCTGCTAATCCATGCTTGGGACATATGAAGACAGGGCCCCCCAGTGAATTTGGGAGCACCGAGGAAAAATGGAAGCTTTAACCCAAGAAGAAGCCTCAAGGCAGAAGTCCCTGTCAGGTCCTCCTGAAGAAGCCCCAAGCCCGGGTGCCCTGAGCCTGGTTACCCCCAAGCCCCAGTTGCAGCTGCAGAGCTGAAGCCTTGAGCCTAGACTGTCCTAGACCTAGCTGGAATGGCTGGGAGATGTGTGGAAATCCTGAGCCTGGGCTACACCAAGCTCTAGTTGGAACAGTTGGGAGGGTACCCCAAGCCTGGGCTGTTCCCACTGGAACTGCTGAAGGCACCGATCCAAGGCTGCCCTGGCTGCAGCAGACAGGCACACAAACTTTGGAGAAACTGTTAAGGGAGGAAGCAGGTCTTGGCACCTGGAGCTATGACAAAAGTGGCAGGTGGTGAGGTGGAGTGGGAGAAGTTCAGGGTTCAGGCTGCCCCCACTGAGGGGAGCAGAAATGCCAACCACTCACTACCCTGGCTGGAGCAGCAGGCAGCCCTGGCTACAACCACCAAGAGCAACAGCCTCATTCCAGCAGAGACTGCTGCAGGAGAAGGAAGCCCTGAGCTCAGTGCCTGGACCAGGAGCTATGACAAGAGTAGGGTGAAGGGCAGGGGAAAAGCAGTGAAAGCCTTGAGCTCAGGTCTTGGAGATGGGTCTGATCTCTCCACCAAGAGCGGCCATACAAGGGAAGAAAAACTCCGGTCCCTCCCCAGCGCAACCAGTCTAGGAGCCAGAAGCTCCAGGTTCCCAGCACCAGGGGAGATCAGATTTTACGGGGAGGGCTGATTTCACAGTCCGTGCATATTTTTCATGGCCATGAAATGATAGGGCCCTAGCTATCAGGTTCAACTCTGACCCTAGTTCCCCTTCTTGCTACCAACTTCTGACTCTGAATCGGTCTCTGACACTTGGCTTACCCTCCAACTCTGAGACAAAGCATTTGTTTAAGTGTTGCCCACGCCTAGATTATTTTTAATCTCCACTATCTCTCAGTGGTTAGTAGTCCCACTTCTTTGTATCCTTGCACTTCCAAGTTCCAGGATGTGGATGTAACTCAAATTTGGCTACATCCATCCTCATCCACTGGGCTGTGATTGATTAAACGGTCTGCGGCTCCAAAGTCAATTTGAGATAGCCTTTACCTTGCACATCTCTCCCCATCCCAAGAGCACACTGAGTCTTGTCAAAACTAATTTCAATTTGAGATAGCCTTTACCTTGCACATCCCTCTCCATCCCAAGAGCACACTGAATCTTGTCAAAACTAATCTCCTGTTGTCCAGTCCCTTGGGAAGATCTCTGGGCCGTAAGTACAAAATACTGGACACTGAATTGCTCATCATTAAATTCACTTTCAAAAAGTAGCAACAATTAGACCATCAGAGGGTATATAAACTAGTGGAGATTTGATTGAGACACAATACTCTAGCACTTGGAGTATCTGGTTAACCAATGCTCCTACCACCTTCCAGCAACATTTTCAGGGACATCCTGGACAAGTCTATATTTATATAATTTGATGATGTATCGGTATTTTCTAAAGATCTTGAGTGACACAATGATCGTGTCCAGTTCACCCCAGAAAGACTGCAGAAGTATGAAGCATATGTCAACTCCATACATCTATGTCTGATGAGCCGTCCTCTGAATTTGTGGGTTGTATCATCTTTTCCCCCAGGTAATCTGCATGGACCAAAATTTGAAGCAATCCACATATAGGCAGAACCCAGGAGCTGCAACACTTTCTGTGATTAGCAATTTTATCAGAGATTATCCAAGTCCATTAAGTTCTTTTGGTCATTTGAATCACAAGAGCTCAAGCCTCCATTTTAGGACACAGAGATGCCAATCAGCTGTTCATCAGAGAAAAAGGTTTTTCTAGTGTAGTTCTGGGTGCTGTCTTATCCCAAAAAGTGTGGGGCTCAATTAGTACTACACCCTTCTGCACACTGTTCAGGAACGCTTACACATTCCAGATGGAATTACAAAATACTGGACACTGAATTGCTCATCATTAAATTCACTTTCAAAAAGAAGCAACAATATCTGAAGGGGCTGGACATCCAATACAGGTATTCCTCAGCCATAAAAACGTGAGTATCACCACAGAGCCAAAGTCAGTGAGCATATTCTTCTCCTGATTCAATGTCACTGTTTCAGACAGTCTGGGAACTAGAAATGGGAAAGCAGACAGTCTTTTATGAAAATGGGACTATTACCAGGACGAGACCATCTAGGAACCACCCCATCTCCCAAAGCTCTGTAACTTTAACACCATGACTTTCCTATACCTGACAGCTCTCCTTCAGACGCTTGCTAGGGAATGGCCAAAGTGCAACAATCCACATGGGATGGGGTGATCGATGTCAGTAGGTGGGTATATACTTCGCGAGGGCATGTCTCATTCGAGGCATTATGTATAAGCCAGGAGGTTCTATTCACAGGCCTCTTTGGCTGCCTCAAAACTTAGAGAACTATAGTTCATTTCTTCTGGTGTCTTGGTATGCATGTGGAAGTCTGGGTCTATGCAGATTCCTGCATTCTTTGTGTTTATACTAGGACACCCTGGGTAAGAATCTGATATTTCTGGAGACCTGATCTCATTCATTTTGGATTTTGTTGTGAAGCTCCCAAATTCTGATGACCCAACCACAGTCCGTATAGTTGTAGGCTGACTAACACGGTCCATGTCATTTCTTGTGACTGTCTGCTGAAGGCAACAGCCCAGCTGCTGGTGACACGTCATTTACTCCCATATCAAACCATTCCTGCCTGAAAGCCAAAATTTATGTTTCAGTTCTGACAGGAGACAATCCATCCAATAGATGTTCATGCATCTACCTCCACTGTGTATCACTCCCAGACCTATGGGCAGTTTGAGAGAGCCAAGTCAAGTATTGGAACAATACTTGTAATGATTTATTAATTTTCATTCAGATAAGTTGGTTTCCCCATAATCATGTGTCAAGTTCTCTTACAATAGTGCTGATTACGTGCAGCAAAAATGTAATCTCTTACTATTGGTATAAGAATATAAGTTTGATGTATAATTATTTGCTTTTAAGGTCAGCATGCTTCTCTTTTACCTTGTTTCTCGTGATTAGACAATGACTGAATTGCAAATTAAGTTGTGTCTTCTAGTAACTATGTAATCCTTTGGAATACTCTTGCTCTGTAAATTGTTTCTTGTGAGCAAAGAATGTGTGTGAAAGTCATCAGGAAGGTCCAGATGGTCAAAAAGACCTGAGACACTTGCAAATAATAAGAGAACATTCATGATGCCTGAGGCAGGATGAAGGCTGACGAAGTTAGCTGAATAGCCAAGCCCTGGAGACAGGCAGACTCTCCCGAAGGTGAGACCACAAACAAGAGATAAGGAAGCCTGACCACAGACATCAAAGGATAACTGTGGGGAAATACCAAGATTAACATACCAAGGATTGCAGCATGACACTGCAAAACTCACAGACTCCAATGGGAACTTATATGTATAAAGTGAAGGACTTTTGCAATTAGACTCAGGGTTTGGTCCTTCAAGCAAAGCCTCAGAGAAACTTCAAATCACAATCAAAAGACCCCAACTCCCCACTCATTCTGGCCAGCAAGATAGACTTGAGTCACAAAAGATACCACCATCACCGTTTCCTCTAAGCTGCAGGAGCACTGAGCCTCTGACTGGGCGGGGCTGATTAATCACCTGTGAAGCTGGGCTGCCCTTCTACACCATCTGCAGGACTTGTGTGTATGCGCGTGCGCACGCACACACACACGTCTTTATGAAGAATACAGTATCAAAGCAGCTAGCATATGCTGCATAAACACAGTGCCTTGCCTATTAAAGAGCTCGTGTTCTTCTTAGAAGTATAACATGTTTCCGTTGGGCAGAGCCCCTTCTTTTCAAATTATGGATATTATCTCCAACAACCTACAGACGCGCCAACACTGTTGGCCATTGAGTAGGCCCAGTGAATTACAGAGTCATCAGGCTGAGATAAAAACAGCTTACGAGCTGTTTGTCACCTGGTAACACTAAGAAAGTCTGGCATTTGTTGTAAGGTGTGGCTTAGCACAAGTCACATGAGGATGAGAGGCCTTCTTAAAAATCAGACAGTCGTTTCCTCAGTACTTTCCAAATCTGCAAATAGGACGCAGCCCAATAGCATATAAACCACAATGCTCCAAATCCATCAAGGGTTCCATGCATCAACTATAAAGCTCTACATAGAGAACCCCTTTCCAGACAGGTTTCAACAACTGACCAACCAACATTCAGAGGCAAGAACAACATATCATGCACAAAATCCTCCAAACTGTACACTAGAAGACATTAAAGTACCATTGAAAAAAAAGTAGTTTGCTGCGAACCTTATGAGAACCTCAAGCAAAATTAAAAATTTTGTTATAGATATTCTATGACCGAAAAGGCGAGAGAGATTTATTAGTTTATACTTACTCAAAAGAAAAGCCATCCAGTCTGCAAAGATAAAGAAAAATTATTACTCAGTGTATAAAGAGCATTAGTATATACTAGAATATACTAGACTATATTCTGCTAATTGCTAACGTTTGTCTCAAGTTTCCAGGTTTCCCTCTGCCCCATCAGATACATTGGCATGCAATTCTGTAGTCTGGAAGAAAAAAAGCAAAAAAAAAAAGCAAATAATTTTTATAATTTAGTGACAAACTGGTTTATGACCTATTTCCAAAAGGAGCCCTTCCTGGTTATCTGTGTCTTATGGTCAAGAGAAGAGAATGTGAAAGATTATTAAACTGAGGCTCTAAAGAACCAGTCTGATTTATCACTTATTTAAACTAAGTCTAGAATCATAGAAATATAGGATTTTAAGAGACCTCGGGAGGTCATCGAGTCCAAAGCAGAACCAATCTCAACTGAATCATCCCAGCCAGGCCGGAAATTAAAAACCTCTTGAGATGGAGATTCCACCCTCCCAATAAAATAGTTTTCCTTAATATACAACCTAGACCCCCACTGCAACTTAAGATCACTGTGCCTCGGTCATCTGTCACTAAGAACAGCCTCTCCCCGTCCTCTTTGGAACCTCCCTTCAGGAAGTTGAAGGCTGCTATCAAATCCCCCCTCACTCTTCTCTTTTGTAGACTAAATAAGCCCAAATTCCTCAGCCTCTCCTCATAGGTCATGTGCTCCAGTTCCCAATTACTTTTGTTGCCCCCCACTGGACTTTCTCCTGTGTGTCCACATCCTTTCTGTAATGGAAGGTCCAGAATTGGATGCAATACTCCAGAAGTAGCCTCACCAGTGCAGAGTAAAGGGGAATGAATAATCACTTCTCTACATCTGCTGGCAACGCTCATCCTAATACAATTTAATATGCCATTAGCCTTCTTGGCTACAAGGGCACACTGTTGACTCATAGCCAGCTTTTACATCCACTGTAATCCCTAGGTCCTTTTCTGCTGAACTGCTACTTAGCCATTCAGTCCCCAGCCTGTAACAAAGTCTGGGATTCTTCCGTCCCCAGTGCAGGACTCTGCACTTGTCCTTGTTGAACCTCATCAGATTTCTTTTGACCCAAACCTCCAATTTGTCTAGATCACATACTAATCTAGGGGGAGAGGTAGGTATCACAGACGAGGCCACAGTATAAGGGTGAGCAGCAGCGGCCCTTCTCTCCGAGAGGGCTCATGGGGAGGCTTGGCCTGGGGGAAGGGATTGCCCCAATGTTGGGGATTAAGTCAGTGGGATTATTGAAGAGGGTGCCCTAGGCATTGCCTGCAAGCTACGAGCCAAGCGCAGTGTGGTGGGTTCGAGTCCCCCTCTCCCTCCCCAACACCAGTTTCCCCAGGGATGGAGCAGGCTCTGGCATTAGGAAGGCAGGATAAAATAGAATAGAAGCAGTTGAAAGGGCTCTCGTGTCCCGGCTCACAGGCAACATGCTAGCAGCGAGCCCTTTAAATAGCAGGAGTTGAAAGGGCTCACAGCTTTCCCTTCAGCCCCCTCCCCGACATGATGCCTGGGAGCTGTAAGGGAAGCACTAGCCCTTTCAACTCCTTTTAACCCCGCCCCTTCTGGAGCTCCCTTCAAAAATTATTGCCCACCCCTGCTCTAGCAAGTTAAATAAGATATCAGAACTTCCTGTAAGCTATTCTGATTTTTATGCTTTTAGACAGCAATTTAAAGCCTTTGGGTTGATCTTGAGATGCATATGGATTATCAGGGCTTGACAAATGGCGGCAAAACCTACTCACCAGCCCCGCACCGTACAGGAGCAAGACCCGCATTGCTCATGCGTGTGCCGCTGGTGAATGGGGCGACCGGCTGAAATCTACTTGCCACGGGTGAGTAGATTCAGTGATTTTGTCAAGCCCTGTGGATTATCTATTCTGAAATCTGGCATAAATGACTAAAATCTTCACTTCCCTAAAAATCTCCTTATTTCCATTTCCTCCCATTAGTTAGGAATACTATATTCTTATGGCCTAAATTATCTCCATTCATTTAGCTTCTCTGCTTCATATATCTATTTTAAGTATCGCTTTAGTACTGACAAAGTTAGTAAAAAAACCAAGATGATAGAACTTCCTATTTAAAAAAAAAAAAGAGCTGGACCTGATCCAATTTCTACTGGATCAAGTGCTCAGTTCAACCTTGATTTACATGGGCATTAGAGCAAATCATAGAACACTGGTTAGGGCAAAGAACCAGGCAACAGGATATCTGAAGTCTCTTCTCAACGCTGATGTTATTTACTGCAGGGGTGGTAAACCTATGGCCAATGGGCCGGATCCAGCCTCTGGCTTGCTTTGATCTACCCTGTGACAAAGCTTGAGACTCCCCCACAGTGGGGCAAACTGGCGTTCAAGCCCCAGCCTTGCAGCAAATCTGACCCTCGGTGCCCCCCTGAGGGGCTGGAGCATGATCACTAGCTTGCTCCAAGCCTCCACCGTCCTCCCTCCCCCATCAGTTGGAGCGCAAGCAGAGCCTTACTTTCCTAGGAGTAAGATGAGTATCTCTAGTTTTGGGGGGTGGGAGGAAGGATTCTCTTTGTGTGTGGTCCCCAAGTGATTTTTCTATGGGCCGGTGGCACCGACTGGAAAGAAAAGTTCCCCATCCCTCATTTATTGCACAATTATACCTAAGATTTGAAGTTTAAATACTATGAATATTATAATATACATATTATGAAGTTTAAATACTACTTCTCATGCTTTTCTGCCTGCAAAGCCAAATTATTAATACCATTAATCTCATGGTAGAGGCCCCAGACAGAGAAGAAAACACAGTTTAGAAACTGCTAAAGTTATTTTAAAGAAAAGGATATATGCAATGCTGCTGTTTGCTATACCATGCTTTAAAAAAAAGTGTGAGTATTTCTAAAGGCAAAACTTAAAAGAAAGCAAACGTATCAATATTTCTGTATATAACATATACCCTCCCAGTTTCAGGCATAAACATCCCAAACACACAGTGGTAAGGGTCATGTGAAAATATGGAGTCATCTGATAACCAATCCAGCATTCTGCCCACATCCATCTCCATCAGCAGGACTTCTAGTATTCCAAATCTCTAAGCTATTTTCAAATGGTTTATGAAAAAATAAAATCAGCTAGCAGAATAATGTTTGCCTTTTCCTAACCAACTTCACCCCCAATACAGTAAACTTCCGATAATCTGGCACCTTTAGGACCCACGGGGTACCAGATTATCAGATATGCTAGACCAGCGTTTCCCCCCACGGGGTACCAGATTATCAGATATGCTAGACCAGCATTCCCCAAATGGTGTTCCACGAAGTGAAAATAAGGGTTCCACGAGAAAATTCCATTACAACAACATGTTATTATTAAAATAATAATAAATATTAAGCATTTATGAATTTTATTGAAACCAATTTTCATTTGTGTTGATCTCATGACCTTGTTTAGCATTTGTTTATTATTATCCTTACTTATTTGTGGTCTACTTTTTCAGCTCCATATATAAGACTGCTATTAGGGGTTCCACAAAATTCTTTTGAGTTTAAAAGGGTTCCGTGGCCAAATAAAAGTGGGAAACACTGTGCTAGACTATCGGAAGGGGGGGCTATGAGGGATCTGGGGTGGCATCCCCTCCCGCCCCACCCCAAGCCCCACATAGCCCCCCCCTTTCCGATAGTCCAGCTCTGCCCCAGGCGCCCCCGATTCCGCCGCTGCTGGTCAGTTTCAGCAGCGGCTGAATTGGGGAAGCCGGGTGCAGAGCAGCTCCAATTGTCCGGCTGCCCGGAGCACTTCCGGGTTCCTGATGGTGCCGGACCATCAGGCGTGCCGGAGCATTGCATGCCGGACCAATGGAGTTTTACTGTATATAGAATTGCTCTACAAATATCACTCCCAAAATTACGTTCGGCTGCAGTCCAGGAAGGACAACATTTTAAGATGGGAGCTTTCTGGTCTGGCACCCTTGAGTCAAGGCTCACCTCCCAGCACTGGCGGGGGCTGCACTCCCAGGTGCCAGCCCCACTGCCTCCAGCCCAGCCAGGGCTGGGCTGCCAGTCTCCCACTTGCTGGTGCTACGTTCCTGAGTAACAGCCCTGCTGCGCTCCAGAGATGTTGCTGGACCACAGAGTCCCGGATTTTAAAGGTTTAACCTGTACTTTGGAAGAGTTACAGGTTCAAGTTCAAATGTCCTTCAAACATATAAGCACTATAATAAAATAACATGTCATGTCTAAAGCCAGGAATTTCCCCTTTGTTTTAGGATAAAGCTTTTATTTAAAGAAGTTTCAATATTCACATAAATACAGGATATCAAATGTGTTCAAGAAATTGTGCCATGACATATGCTTGCTTCATAGCAAAACTGCAACAGGCTAGAAAATATAAGTATTTCTCTCAGCTGAGTTAATAGCAATAGAAATCCTACTTACTGATAATCAGTAGAACTTCCTTTCCTTTTCCTATTGCAATCCATTCCTGAAGTACTAAGGGAACTGGAAATTAGGTCAGTGGGTCCTGGTGACATAAAATCACTTATTGTTGAGGAAATGTCCATCCTTTGGTCAGCCATTGAATTGTCTGGAATCACCCCCCAAAACAAAAACAAAAATTAGAGCTATTATTTTTACATTACATTTAGGCTAGGTCTACACTGCAGAGCTTTTCTGGGATACCCATGTCGCATACAAGAAACATGTCCACTTTTTCGGAACAATTTCCAAAAAAGCAGATGCATTTTTTCCACCATCTCTGTAATCCTCATTCCCCGAGGAAGAAGGGATGTGCCAAAAGAGGAGGTTTTTCCAAAATCTGGCACCATGTAGATGCGCCAAATTTCAGAAAAGCTTCTTTCCAAAGAAAAGCGGAAAAAGATACGCAAATTGCGGTTCACAATTTGCGTCTCTTTTTCCGACTTCTCTTTGCAGTGTACACCTAGCCTTAGAAAGAAAAAACTAATTTTTTTTTAAAACTCTGAGACAACTTAAAAAAGACTGAGCAGAGATGTAAAATAAATGAACCCTTAACAATGTTTTAGAGTACTATAGCCCAAATAACCCACTTAACCATATTTCACATGGAACACTACCAGAATATTGTACTTAATAAAATATTGGACACCAAAGTAACTACACATCAGCAGCAACTAAATAACAATGGATAGTTCTTACCTTAAAACTTACTTTTTGGAAGCCTAGATCCAACCTAGAAGAAAAGTTCTGCACTCAATCTGCTGGCTGGTTCTGCCTCAGCAATCACCTTAAAACTTCTTTCATGCTCTGCAACTTATTTATTGACCTCTTTCAAAAACCTGAATCGGAAGAACAAACAAACAAGCCACAAAAATGTTAAAAGATGTCTGGTTTGTCTAACCAGCCTCTTCTAAAATTAAGTTTGACAAACATGTCCTAGGATGTGAAATTAAACAAAACAGCTGCCCAAAACAGCTAAATTTTAATTCTCCTTGATCAATCACAAAACTTCTATGAATTATATAGTACTACATGTTCACCTGGCACTTCACAAGTAATGTACCTGCCCAAAGCAGCTTACAATCTACTTTGAACAGATATAACATTACTGGTTGACTTAAAAGCAGAATCACTGGTAAAAACAAACAACAACAACAAAAAAACAGAAATGGGTTTCAAAAGGACATATCAACTTAAACACACTTCTACCAATATTTGGTAGAAATTTGCATAGTGATATAAGAACATCTGAGATGACTATAAACAACAAGGCATCAGTTTTACATTGTGCATTTGAGAGCACCTTGTATCTACTAAGTGTCATTGAATTTCTGTTTGTGTACTTAAATCTTCAGCACAGAAACAGGATATACAACCTGAGTGCCCTCTAAGCTGTGCAGGTGAATTTTCAGCCCCACCCATTCAGTCAGCTCCCTGCACGGAGCATCTGACTGCGTGGGGCTGATTAATCATCTGTGAAGCTGTGCTGCCTCGCAACTTATGGGAAACACTGGGTGCAACAACTTTTTTAATACTAAGAAAACATGATTTCTCCAAATAAAATACTAAATTTGACCATGTTATTTCTAAATGGAAACCTGCTCTTTACTGTTAGAAAACTGACTAGACCTATCTCTCAGAGCTGGAAAGGATCTTGAGAGGTCAAGTCCAGTCCCCTGCCCTCCTGGCAGGACCAAGTGACATCCCTGACAGATATGTCCTAGCTCCTTAAATGGCCCCTTCAAACATTGAACTCAAAACCCTGGGTTTAGCAGGCCAATGCTCCAACTACTGAGCTACTCCTCTTCTTGAAGGGGAGGAACTGCTGGTCCAATCAGACAGTAAATTAATGGGAACAAGGCTTCTATCAGAGTCATGCTTAAGTAGGGGATGAGGAAAAGGCAGGAGCACAGAGCCCTCCAAACATCTATAGGAATTTCTTGACATCTTTTGGAATAGCTATTAATTAACAATAAGAGGGTGATCAGAAAGGGTGTGGGATCCTTACTGGATGAGGGAGGTAACCTAGTGACAGATGATGTGGGGAAAGCTGAAGTACTCAATGCTTTCTTTGCCTCTGACTTCACAGACAAAGTCAGCTCCAAGACGACTGCACTAGGCAACACAGTAGGAGAAGGAAGTACTCAATGCTTTCTTTGCCTCTGTCTTCACAGACAGTCAGCTCCAAGACAACTGCACTAGGCAACACAGTAGGAGAAAGAGGTGGGCAGTCCTTGGCGGAGAAAGAACAAGTTATGAACTATTTAGAAAAGCTAGACATACACAAATCCATAGGTCCGAAGCCCGGGAAATTCAAATCCCGGGCTTCATTAGCAAGTGCGGTATGCATACATTACCCCGCTAGTTCGAACTAGCGGGGTAGTGTAGACATACCCGTGGAGATCAAGAGAGAACCTGGATGACTGGAAAAAGGCAAATGCAGTGCCCATCTTTAAAAAGGGGAAGAAGGACTATCCAGGGAGCTACAGTCCAGTCAGCCTTACCTCAGTCCCCAGAAAAATCACAAAGGGGATCCTCAAAGAATCCATTTTGAAGCACTCAGAAGAGGGGAAAGTGATCAGGAATAGTAAACATGGATTCAGCAAGGGCAAGTCATGCCTGATCAACCTGATTAGCCTCCATAATGAGGTAACTGGCTCTGTGGCTATGGGAAAGTCAGTGGATGTGACATACCTTGACTTTAGAAAAGCTTTTGATTCAGTCTCCCACAATATTCTTGCCAGCAAGTTAAGGGAGTATGGATTGGACAAATGGACTGTAAGATGGATAGAAAGCTGGCTAGACTGTCAGGCCCAATGGGTAGTGATCAACGGCTCAATGTCAGGTTGGCGGTCGGTTTTTAGTGCAGTGCCCCAAGGATTGGTTCTAGGGTCGGTTTTATTTAACAGCTTTATTAATGGCCTGGATGAGGGGATGGATTGTACCCTCAGCAAGTTTGCAGAGGACACTCTCCTAGAGGGAGAAGTAGATACGCTGGAGAAAGAAATCTGATGAGGTTCAAAAAAGACAAGTATACAGTCCTGCATTGCAGATGGAAGAATCCCAAGCATTGTTACAGGATTGGGACCAAATGGCTAAATAGCCGTTTGGCAGAAAAGGACCTGGGGATTACAGTGGATGAGAAGCTTGGGCAGGGGGCTTGACTTGATGACCTCCTGAGGTCTCTTCCAGCTCTATGATGAGTCAACAGTGTGCCCTTGTAGACAAGACAGAAAATGGAATATTAGGTTGTACTAGGAGGAGAATTGTCAATAGATTATTACCCTTTATTCAGCTCTGGAGTAGTGTGTCCAATTCTGGGCCCCCCCCACTACAGAAAGGATGTGGATGCATTGGAGAGGGTCCAGCAGAGTACAACCAAAATGATTAGAGGGCTGGAGCACATGACCTACGAGGAGAGCTGAGGGATTTGGAGTCATTCAGTTTGCAGGAGAGAAGACTGAGGGGGGATTTGATAGCAGCCTTCAGCTTCCTAAAGGGAGGTTCCAAAGAGGATGGAAAGAGGCTGTTCTCAGTAGTGACTGATGGTAGAACAAGGAGCAATGATTTCAAGTTACAGTGGGGGAGGTCTAGGCTGGATATTAATAAAACTATTTCCCTAGAAGGGTGGTGAAGCACTGGGATGGGTTACCTAGGGAGTTGGTGGAATCTTTATCCTCAGAGGTTTTTAAGTCTCGCTTGACAAAGCCCTGACTGGGTTGATTTAGTTGGGATTGGTCCTGCTATGGGCAGGGGGCAGACTCCATGACCTCATGAGGTCTCTTCCAGCCCTATGATTCTGTGATTCTATAGTTAGGAGAGTTACGGCCCATACTTTCTCTAGATTGGTTGAAGTCAAGTCCTGCATCATCTTGATGACATGACTAAAAGTAAACTCTTACTTGTACAACTGCACATCCACTAGTGTGGTCTAGGTCATTCAGTGCCAGCAATGCCCCTCTGGCATGTATATTTGCCCAACTGGACAGTCTCTATGAGAAAGAATTAAAGAACAAAAATCAGATATCCAAAAAGGCAACACAGAAAAACCTGTTGGGGAACATTTTAACTTGCCTGGGCACTCACTAATGGATCTCAAAGTCACCATATCATTTCAAAGCAATTGCAAAAGCCAACTTAGTTAAGTTCTAATTTCAGAACTTAACTTCATTTACAAGTTTGATGCCTAGGACAGAAGTCTAAAGAAAGACATTGGCCTGATGGCCCACTATATTCCACATCCTAAAGGTAGTGGGTACTAAAGTATTCTTATCAGCTTCATTTAGCATGGACACTCTAAAGGACAATTTCTCTCCCCATTTTCTCCCTCCCCTCCCCCAGCCTCTCTGCACTATTTATTTGAAAAACTGGACTGACCCCCCCTAAACTCCATCTGAAGAAATGGGCTGTGCCCACAAAAAGCTCACGATACCATCTACATTTGTGTTAGTCTCCAAGGTGCTGCAGGACTATTTGTGAGTTTTTTAAAGTTTTTCCAATAAACTCTTTGGATCTTGTACCAGGTGCAGTTATTACACCGATGTAAAATGAGTGCAACACACTAACAAATCAAAATGGTAGCACTTAGTACTAACTTTCCACTTGTGTAAATGACTACACAAGGTGCAATGATTAACTGAGCCCTCTAATTCATGGCTGCACATACACGGGGTTGATCTTCATAGGCTAAAATTCTGCCATAATATTCTGAATTAAGTGATATGTTTTTAAAAAGGCAAATTAGATATGTTTAAAAAAAAAAGGCAGCCATACTGAAAAGAAACACTGAATACTGGTTAGGGAGTAGTCTACAAAATAAGGCCCTGATCCTGCAATAAGGTCCCTATGAGAATCATACTGCAGCATCTGAGATTACATTTGTAAAGTGTTCTCTTCCCCTTGAGATAAGAGTAAGATTCTTTATAACTTTATAAATAAAATTTCGGCAAGTTATCAAACATCCTAAACATTTCAAAGCAACTTCAACTCCACCCTCAAAATTAAAACAATTTAAGCAAATAGCATAGAACACAATCATATAGTTTCTACACACTTCTAGATAAAAAAAAAGTCCACTGACAATTCAACCCACTCCAAAATTTTATACCATGGACAAACAAATCTTAATAGCATATTTTGTGCAAACAAACAGATCTTGTATAATTCAATTACAATGCCAAATGCCATAGAATCAAGGCGGTAAATTACAGAACTGGAATTGTACCAGCAGATTGATGAAAAAATAAAAAAGTAGGAAACTCAGCCAGTTAAGAAACACACCATACATCCATCATGAAGAACTGAATTCTTTTAACAGAATAAAGTTACAAGAAAAATTATGACAAATCATTTACAGAGGAAGGAATTTTTTCCCCACAGCACAATCATTAGACACATTTTCCCCATACCATCATTACACAAAACTAATGCCTTTATTAACATCGGGGGTACAGGATAAACTTACACAACAAATATTCTGGTAGCACTTTAAAGACTAACAAAACATGTAGATGGGATCATGAGCTTTTGTGGGCACAGCCCACTTCTTCAGATAACCAGAGTGTTGGATGTCAGGAACTAAAATAAATAGGGGAGAAGAGGGGTGGGGGCGGACTCTTCTTGTCTCTTCCCTCCCTCCCTCCTTTCCTTCTCCCTTATTTATTTTAGTTCTCGACATCCAACACTCTGGTCATCTGAAGAAGTAGGCTGTGCCCATGAAAGCTCATGATACCATCTACATGTTTTGTTAGTCTTTAAAGTGCTACCAGACTATTTGTTGCCTTTATTAACGTGTCTCTCACAAAGACTGAAAGAAGCAGGACTCTTGTGGATCATAAATGGAATCTTGATTTATTCTGGCAAACGAAAATTTACAAGGCTTGTTTGTACATAAATGAAGGTTTTTATAATTCTGTAGACAGTACAAGTCTGTAGAAAACATTGCATAAACCGACTGGCAAGCTTCAGTGTTGTATTCTGCAGCTTTATCTCAAACTTAGAAATATCAATATCAGGAGTTTTAATAATGACTCAATGAGCCCATCCTCTGATTGGCCCTTAGTCAAATTGAGATTGTTTACCTTCAGAGTGCATCACTAAACATGACAATATTTAGTACTGAAGTAATCTGCAAACATAGATCCAGTTACACTTTACCACAGTGGTCCCCAAACTGTGGGGTGTGCTCCCCAGGGCATTGTGGAACATATGGGGATGGTATGGCAGGGCTCAGGCCAGCCCCACAGGGGGGAGAGGAAGGCAGCACCATCCAACCCTAGTCTGCCTCCAGCCACAGCTCTACTCCACCTCTTTTCACTGCCTCCAGCCCAACTCTCCCCCCAGCTGCAGTTCCACCTCTTTTGCAGCAGCCTAGCTCTGACCTCATTCCCTATTTTCCCCCAGGCCAGTTCTACCCTCAGTTCTGCTTTCAGCCCAAGTTCCTCTGCTGAGTCAACTCCGCTAAGTGCAGTAATGGAGGGGCGGGATGGACAAATTTCATTATTGGTGGGGAGGGCATGACAGGAAAAATTTGGATACCACCGCTATAATATGTTTATTGTATGGATTTATGTAAGTGAGGTTTGGATAGGTCAGCTTACCGCAAAGCCTTGTGAACTGATTGTTTACCAGATGTAAGCATATCTGAATGCTGATTCAAACTATCTGGACAGCAAATGGCAAATTATTGCTGCTTAAAGTATCATCTCAGAAGATGAAAGAGCAGATGCTGAAGTCAACCCCACAATAGGAAGAGTGCAACACATTCTGCAACAATAAGCATCTAATGAGAAGGGACATAAATCTGAAGATTAAAATCCAATTCTTAAGAACATTCACTGGGACTATGTTAAATTTTGACTGTAAACACATATACTCAAGCAATAATAAACTATTAATGTTGTTGCAGAAGAATTTTGAAAATGTCACTGATAGACTGCATAACTAATGACAAAGTTTGGGAGATAACTGGAATTCAGCAAATGCCAGTCAGATTTATGAAAAAAATAATTTGCTAGGCATATTTTAAGGGATTCGGCAGAGGATGTATGTTTGTGAGGTGTGAAAGGAAATGCTGAAAACAGAAGAACACAAAAGTCAGAAAAAGATCTTGGATGAACAATGTGGTATCTTGGGTGGATCTAAAGGACTATTCATCCACAAAGAGATTAGGAGAGGATTTTTTTTTTTAAATAAAGAGCTTTCATAGTTGCAACCCCGCAGTAACAGAGATGCCACATCAGAAAAGGAATATTGGTAGTTTTGTGTCTTACAGTACCACCTCACAAACTGTCAACAAAATTATTTATAACAGTGAGGTCACAGTTGTGGAGATATAATTTTGCTTTGTAAATATTTAAGACGCTAGATTTTTTTTTTTTAAGATGATGTAGAAAATAGTTCTTGAAATCAACCTATATCACTTTTCTAAATGACATTCAGAAGCCTAAGTCAGGAAATTTTACCCATAGATCATTAACAATAAATAGTGAACTTATTCTAATTTCTTTTGACAATATATAAAGTCCCCACACAATTGGACAGAGTTCAGCACTCCCTGGTCAAGGTGGTGGCCATGGTCTAGACAGAAATGTGATGAATCCAGAGTTGACAACCCCAACTACTCAAAATGATGAGTCAGGCCCAAAATAAGTATGAGGTTTGCCAAAGAATAATACTCTTTTCTTAAAAAAAAAAAAAAGTCACAAGTGCTGCATTTTCGTTTGCCTTCTGGTTTTTGAGCCTTTAAAAGAGGAGGTTAACTCACCTTGACTAACTGACATTCTTCGTGGTGGGCATCCCTGTGGGTGCTCTACAGTAGGTGTAGGTGCATCCTAGTGCCACAGAGCAGATTCTTGATAGCAGTGCATTGGGGCTGCGCATGCGCAGAGCGTGGCCCCCCGGGCACCAATGCGCATGTTCAGCCATCCTCCCTTCAGTTCCTTCTCTATCCAGAACCTGGCATAGTAGAAAAGCCTTTTTTTTGGTTGGCCCAAAGTAGAGGGGAGGGAGGAAGGAAGGGTAATGGAGCACCCCCAAGGATGCTCACCTGGAAAAATGTCAGTTACAGCCAAGGTGAGTAACCGCCTCTTCAAGAGACACACATCCCTGGAGAGCTCCACAGTAGGTGATTGCAAAGCAATTTGTGCAATGGAGGTAGAGACTTTGGATCAGGCAGGTAAGTTGTCTGTAGTATGGCCTTTGCTACTCTTAGCGTGTGAAGTGGGCCGGAGGAAAGCGCATAGTGCTTAGCGTACGTTTTTTCTAATGTCCATGTAGCAGCAGCACATATATCGTCAATGGGAACTTTCCTCAGGTAAGCGACCAAAGTGGCGATCGCTCTCGTGGAGTTTTCACGGACTGAGGTAGGAGTTTGTAGATGATTGAGAGAGTAGCACATGGTGATGCAGAGATCTAATGGGATAGTCTTTGAGATTATATCAGATGCCCCTTGTTATGTTCTGCAATGGAGACGAAGAGTTGTGGGGACGACCTGAAGAGTTTTGTTATATGGAGATAAAAGAAAAGTGCCCTGTGGATGTTGAGGGTATCAATCTATGCCTTGAAGGTGTAGGCACGAGGCTTAGGGAAGAATAGAGGTAAGTGCATTGCTTGGTTAAGGTGAAAAGCAGCGCATACCTTATGTAAAACCTTTGAGAGCGTCCATTGAGAGACATTGTCCTTAAAGAAGATAGTAAATGGTGGACCTGCCATTAGGGCAGCCATCTCACCTACCCTACATACTGACGTTATTGCAACTAGGAATGCCATTTTGAGCACTGAATGGAGAAGGGAGCATGTGGCCATGGATTTGAATGGAGGTTTGAGAGCGTGGCCAATACCAGATGTAAGTCTCATGGTTCCCGTGACGTATTAATGTCAGGATAAGCCATGGATTTGAATGGAGGTTTGAGAGTGTGGCCAATACCCGATGTAAGTCTCATGGTTCCCGTGACATATTAATGTCAGGATATAGGGCCTGTAGGCCACTGAG